TCCGTTCCTACGATTGTTGCGCTAGATTTTAAAATACAGGGTGGGCAAAAAAAAAGATCCGAGTTTGGGTTGAAATATCTCGCGAACGGTAGAGAATCGAAGGTACGTTACCATGCCAGAACGCTTAAATATGCTGGGTATGAAGATTTAACACAACCCGATTTTTCGATTTTTGGAGTACGAAACTGTACTATTGACGCTGGTTACGACCGAAAATTGTGCGTTCTTGAAAGGGTGGTGGGAAAATTCTGATTTATAGCCTAAAAATAGTCAAAATCTCATGTAGAAATGTAATGGCAAAAATCTTAGAATTTTTCGAGGCCTATTCCATTTTCTAAAAACGAAACAATTTTCGCGATTTTTCGTTGTTTTTATTCTTTTAGTCATAACTCACTTCTAACTCACTGCCCATGGCTGCTTTTTTGCCAATGAATTACCCAAATAATAATCTAGGATCCCACACCAGAACCCAACACAATCTATGGTATTTTTGTATTGCTTGCTAAAACGTGCCCCAGCGGGGTACTGTAGGTCTGGTTTTTCCCGCTTTTCTCGGCTTCCCTAGCTTCGATCCGGCCGAAATTTTCAGGGTTGTTAGGCAATACGTAGTGGCACCTTGCTGCCAAATTCGAGAGCGTACTATCCACAAACTTCATGAAAAAAGTCTAAAAACTGATTTTTTAATTCTGCCACAGAATCTTGTAAATTTTTTGGTCAGGTGTACCAAAAACTGTTAGTATTGCTTTTACCGAAAGATCGAAGCGATTCCATGGCAAAAACACCACGAAAATCGCAAATTTCGGTTTTCTACAGTAACCCACGTGGAGCGCGTTTTAGCATGCCATCAAAAAATTCCATAAATTGACGATTGTTCAATTTGGAGGGCCTTCTAGAGTTGATTGTAAGATAGCCTGTCAAAAATTACTGAGTTTTGGTGGTAAATAACAAGTTACGAGGCCAAGTGCAAAACAAGGCCAGAGAGCCGATTTTGGGTCCGAGTAGCCGTCAGTTTTCGAATTTTTAAAAATAAAAAAAACCACCTAAGTCATCTGGATACGATTATAGCTTTGATGTTATTATTTACGCCTGTCAAATTCCGGAGCAATCTGATTCAAAATTATGGTGACTTTCAGCCATAAATGGAAAATCACCCTGTTCTAAACCGAAGTTTAAAATTCTTCGTAAAATTTTTTCGACGCGAAATTGTTTTAAACTTTGCATAGTTTTATTTAACTAATACCACAGATTTATTGGTGAAAAGTTCCTGGCGACTTCACCTTCCAAAAATTCTTTACGCCCCCTCGAATTCGGCTTATTTCGGGTTTTGATGAATTTTCTTTTCGTCAACGGCTGGTCAAATAAATTCAAGAACCTGGCTTTAGGATGCGCTATTCAAATAGTATCAGATAAACTTAAAATGACAATTTTCGTAGCGCTGTTAAAATTCATAAATTGTTTGCGGGTTTCGGAAAAAAGCACGTACCAACCGTTTTGGAGGCCCTAAAAGACGCCCTTCCAAAGGGGTACGGTAGCTCGAAATTTTGGAGATGATTGATAAATCCCAGTCCTACATAGCTAAGCAAAAAATAGCTGAGTCCCTCGGCAATTTAGAAATATTTTTCCAAAGTCCGGTTTCGAGACCCCGAAAAATCCATGACCCCGGGGTCGTTGGAAAACTCGAAAATTCATCGATCTCGAAATTTTTAAAGTGTGTTTATGCGGTAGTATAGGGTCCGTAGTTATTCTACAACAACTTATTCTGATGTTTTGGCCATAGGTTTTTGTAATTTTCGAAATTTACGAAATTTCCCCCATACAAAATTTCATTCTTCTATAACTTGTCAACCAGACCCCAAAAATTCTTAAATTTTGTAGGTGCATATCTACTGCCTACATTAACTTAAATAGAAAAAATTAGAACCCAGTCACCACAGGAAACTGAGAAAAGGCAATGAAGATTTCCCGAACGCACAGTTTTCCGGGTGTCATTTGTATTGATACGTCGCCAAAAATCGAAAAAAATCAATTTGTGTTAAATCTTCATACCCAACATATTTAAGCATTCTGGCATGGTAACGCACCTTCGATTCTCTACCGTTCGCGAGATATTTCGACCCAAATCCCGGATCTTTTTTTTGCCCACCCTGTACGTGCGTATCGGCGTATGACATAACTGAAGATGGTCTAGACAAAAGATCGAAATAATAGAAGGCACTGAAGGTAATGGGAATCGAGACTCCCAAGGACTTACTGTATCACATCCAGCTTTGACCGATGATCGCAGCTAGGCCAAAAATGTTGTGGCCCACAACGAGACCGCCCTAATCAAAAATTCGACCAGGCCAAGAAGTACACCAAAAAAACATCGACAGCCCGGTGGTGCCATGTTGCGTTCCCTTGAGATGGGCAGTGCTGTTCCCCATGCCTTTAGAATCGTGAAATGGGCGAGAGAGAGCGAGAGAAAGAGAGAGAGAGAGAGACGACCAAGTGCGGTGCCCTCTGCTTTCCCCGCTATTTTTTGCCCCATTTTTTCGATTCAATTTCCGCGCATCTGCCTCTACGCATCCCCCCTTTTTCCGGGCCGTCGACTCATTTCCCCCATTTTCTAAAGAGCCCTCAGATGCGACACGGCGAGAGAGAGAGAGCGAGAGAGCGAGAGAGAGAGAGAGAGAGAGAGAGAGAGAGAGAGAGATGCGACCCACACACACACACGCATGGCCACTGATCCACACACTGACACACCCTCCCTCGTTCTCGCGTACTATTAATTGCCCCGGGCCGGGCCGCAGACCGGTGTCAACCGGAATGGAGCGGAAAAGCAGCTTTTCGAGGGAAAACAACCGAATGCCAATGATTTCCGTTGCTAAGAGTCAAAACACCGAACGGACAAAATCCCGACAAGTAATTGTCGACAACGAAAATGACGCCTGAGAAAAGCCGTCACGTCGAGGCTAGAATGCAAATTGTCGATTTCTTGAAATCCTTGCGTTCTGAGCACTTTCCCCCAAGAATCTCTGCACGTTGGCCCGTTTTGAGGCGATTTTTCCCATCTACTTCAATAGCAAATTCTGTAAATTTAGTAAATTCTAGATAACGGTAGGTTATCCTGCTTTCGCACGGAAAACTAGAAACTCCCCACTTCCCGAGGAAATGTAATAGAAAATTCCGAATTCCTCGCAAATTTGGCATACAGTAGATTATCCAGGCAACAGAGAAAAACAGGCTTTTAACCAGAAAAAAAAACTATAAAATTCCCGGAACCTGGAAAAAGGCATAAATACGGCCAAGTGGCGGGGTGCCCTACTAATTACGCAAGGGCACGAACGCACCGGGGCACACGATGAGGGATGGCCAAACCCGGGAAAAAGACTTTCTAATGCTTTTTCATCCAGGCACGTCGGCAACCTGGTCAACATCCATTGAAGCATCCCAAGTGCTCGCGTATTCCAATTGAATTTGGGCCAATTGAATGGCTAATGGATGAGCAGAAATTAAGTGGAAATACTACGCTTTTGAGGTGGTGAAGCGTGATGAAAGAAAAGTAGAAAGACTGGCTTATTAGAATGAACATCAACGTCGGCGTCACATCAGGCACTTCGTTATTGTTGGGGGAAAGCCGCGTTGTGACATAGACTATTATTTAGTTAGCTATACGTTTTTTTTTATTTTCTCTGAAAGCTGACATCATCATTCCTGAAAAACCTGACTATAAAATGAGGACCTCGACTCAAAGATTGCCAACTTCCTCATATATTCCTTCAAAATTTCGTTATTTGACATACACAAAACCAAAACTTTAGTAAAATATGAAATATAAACAATATATAAAATCAGCAAACATAAAACATAAACAGAAAGGCAAATATTGTCTACCTAATCTTTTAAAAAACGTAATTATTAAAAGCATGCGGTTGAAATAAAGATACTAACATCCTCCTCTCATAATTTAACTCTTTAAAAGCTATTCATAAGTAGCCTTAAATAACTTTAAAAAATTTACTTTTTCTAGGAAAAAAACCCCGATTAAAAAGCTATAAAACCAGCCAATGAAACGATAAACAAAATAGACAACGATACAGCAGAATTATTCAGAATTTTCAGCATCCACCAACAACCCCTAATTTTCAATTCCTCAAGCCAAAAATTAGCCCTGACTAACTACGGAGCCACTCAAATATCCACGCATTACCGGGGGCCGCTCCTTTTAATTCGTGCATTTCCATAAAAAGTGCATTTTCAGGAAAGGCACATTTTGGGATAATCAATGCCCCCAGCTTCGCTGGCTCGAGGAATATGCAATTTATCGTCAAAAGTGGTCGAGCGGAAGCCAAAATGGCCCCCGGAAGCATTTACCCAAGCGCACGGGGTTGCCCTTATTTACGAAAATGAGCCGGCGGTCGTCGGTCTGATGTGTGCAACATCGTCGCTAATGTTGTGAAAGGTTTTTCGGTGCTGGTTCGTTAAAGGGGGGGGGTTAGCAGGGAAAATTACGATTTTTCCTATGTTCCGTAGGCGCCCTATGATGAAATAAGGGCTGATTTTGTAATTTTAGTTTAATGAAGAATATTATTTTACGCCCCTTAGAGAACAAAGCTTATAAAAACTCATTAAAGAAAATATTTAAAAAGGACACAAAAACTTCAAATTTTTTTAGATTTCTACGACTGTTTAGAAATCGCAAACTAGAATACTAGCAAAATATCGCATTTAGATTCATTCCTTTGCGGGATAAGCTATAAAAAAATACCGACCCCCGCTAAGGAACCAGAACCCAACTTTGAAACGGATGTTTTCCCTAACAATATATGCTACCAGTCTTTATCTCACCCAAAAATACCGTGTAAAATAAATGTGTATCACAATATGCGAGAACGCTAGATAGGAGTAAAATAAGTTAGCAAGGCAGCGGAACAAAAATAACGCTTTAGAAAAAATGGCATCGGGGGCTCAAAATGGAAATGGCGGGTTATTAAATCGAAAATGCGATAGATGATAGCTTAAGAAGCGAGGGTTCGGTACAAAATCCAGGAGACGAGCACCATCATCATCGACATGGCCACGATGAGGTAGGGCAGGCGTTGCGAGGGGTTTTCAGGGGAGGTGGTGATGAGTGGAGCGTGGTCGGGAACAACCTAAAGAGAATTCCCCTTAGGAAAATTAAAAATAACTGACCTCCCTGGCCCTGACGACTCTCCATTTCATCGATGGCCAACGATCGTTCCCATCCGTCATCGACATTTTCTGAAAAAAAACGGGCTTTTGTGGTGATATTTCCCGGGGTTTTATCACACAAGCACCTTATGTGTTTCTAGACAAATCCAACTATATTTCCGCAAAATAACAAAACACGTTTCTGACATAACTTTCCGAACTGTTTTCATTTTAAAAATTTCAAGGTCGAAAAGCAGCCACAATTGCCAAATAATCTTAGTATTTTTCACCCAAATTCTTATGTCTACACGTTTAGGGATTATAAAACACCGTTTGATCTGTATCAAAAAAAAATTGGATCCTCAAGAAAAAACGTTGATCCAACCTTGAAAATAAAGAATCGAGAGACCTTTTTGTCGTATAAGAACGTACCCAAATTGACGTCCAACCCGAGGTATCCTTGAAATTCTCCCGAGCAGCCTCCGGGCCCTCGGCCTCGAACAAAAGTCGCTGAATATGATGGCCGGCTGCGAGGGCAGAAAAAGTGGTGGCGGGCCGTGGCATCTGGTAAGTGACACCGTCATTGAAAGCCCGATCGAGTTTGGTTATTTTCTGAAGGCGGTGAGTATCGTAGTGGAAAGAAAGAGTCACCTGGTGGATGCATCGGAGTTGTGGGGACAGTTTTCTCACTCGGTGACGTCCATCAGATCGGCGACGAGGGCTGGAGAAGTGGCTTCGACGTTCGGAATTTATACTATACCCTCCCGCGCACTAAAATTCCGGATAACATGCAGCTTCACGGCAGCCACAGCATCTTTCACCTTAGCTCTTCACCGGAACCGCCGCTCGGACCCTAATTTTTGGTAGATGAATTTTGTTACAAACCAACCCAATTACCTCGACGTCAAACACAAAATCGTGCCAATTATTTGCGGTCTCGCTCTCGATCGTTGAAGCCGCGTCGATGTCGCCTGAAAATACGGGTTTACGACTTTTTCGCACAAAGTACGCACATTCCGATTGAACCATAAGCGCCAATTCGTAGGACTGCTTCTTGTGCTTTTGATCTTTGACCAGCAAATCGTCGGAATTTCGCACGACGTCGTCAAGAGGATTAGTTGGCAGTCAAGGATTAGTTGTACTTTAAAAAAAATAAAATTTGAAAGTGCAGAAGACGCACCCGATGCTGAAGCATTTGCCGTAGATCCTTAGTAAAATCGTTGCTTTTCAACGGGACGTGGCCCGCTGACTCGCCCGCCAATCCTCGAGATAATTGTCGTCCATTGGAGCTATAAAACATTTTCTCGCTTCCTGAAATGAAACCTACTTTATCAAAGCTGATTTTATTCGCAGAAAACGAGCCCTCACGATGGCTGACGTCGGCTCGAAAACCTTGCTGCTGTCCTTCCGCTCCATCTATACTTACTAGCGCCTAAATCACCGTTATTAACAGAGACCAAACCTAGTAAAACGTTATTAATTCCAATAATTTTAAAGCGCACCATATGGGTGATATACTTGAACAAGTTGAACGTCGAATCAGCAGTGGCGGCCTTTGCAACGCCTTGTAAAACTTGAAGCAACACCGGTTTCAGCAACGGGAGCACTTTCTTCTCCTCGGAAATCAGTACAATACCTAAAAGTTTCACATTTTCAAAGTTATCCGGCCATACCAACTAAATCCACGCCGCCGGGCAGCATCCGGATGACTCGATCGGCATGCACGGCCAGAAATTCGGTGTCCATTCTTTTGATAGCGTCATTTGTGTGGTTCTAGATAATTTACATGACGTAAAAACTATGTAAAATTTACCACAGGCCCTTCCCTCGGAGGTTGCGGACACGGGACGAGGTGGGCGACCTAAAATACATTGGTTGAGATATATTTAACGAAAACTTACTTGAACATCGTGCTCCCCGGTAAATGAGCCGATCATAAAATGGAACGACGCGGGAACAGTGAAATCCTTGGCATCTTTTTGGTACTCTCTTCACGGCGCCGTTGGGGGTGGCTTGGAGTCGTTCGTCGAGGATGATCATCTAAAAGATTTTATAGATGGGAATATATTGTTTTTAGGTCGAATACCATTAAAAAGCCACTTAAAAGTCTATGGAACCGCGCGCGGCAAAAGAAATTATTTGGCGCTTTCTAATGATTCGTTACGGACGCGTGGTGTGGGGGTGTAGGGGATTGGCTGTTTGGGACTAGCCACCCAGTACGACTCTTGATCATTCACAGCCCATACAGCCTTAATTTGGAAACCCTGCAACGAAGTACGAGTACACTCATTACGGAATTCGTAAACGGATTGTGTCGTATTATCGCTGGGCGGATTTTCTGGTGCGATTACGTAGGGTAAAAGGGGCTGGGCTACGGTCATTGGGTCACGGCATTAGGGTAAGGGTTTGGTCGGGTCTGGGGGCTCCAAAAGGGGCGAAAAATGCTAGTAAAAGTTAGAAATAATTAAAAATCTCTTTAAAACTCGTTTTTCATCAACCTTTTCATGATTTATTTTAGAGAACAAATTATCGCGGATTTTTGTCATAAAAACGGCCAATTCGATCCATGAAATCTTCCGTTCTGAAAAAGGCCCGATTTTCGCGCATCAACCTTGTGGATTTACGTGCTGTTTTGCCACATTCGGGCCTGCTAGGGTACCCAAAATAGACTATTTTTGTGCTGATTCTGAAAAAACGAGCTCGTTTATTACCCATGACGTCAGATTCTCGAGATAAAAGCAAATTTTGGTGAAATTCATCCGGGAAACACCAAAATTTCGGGACCTGGGTAAAAAAAGTACGTTGAAAACGATAAAACACAAATTAAAAGTTAAAACTTTTATTTTGCTAAGAATTTATTATATGCTCAAATTATTGGCAAAGGAGATGGTACGTTGTGCTACTCTTTACGTCACTACGTCAGTTGAATTATGCCGTAGCCGGCCCTCGCCCTGGACCTTCGTTGTTTAGCTGTATGGGCTGTGCATTTGCCAACCTGTAAGCTACTGTTTTTTGACGTAAAACTCCTTTCCCAAAATGATTTTGAATGTATGGATTGTAAAAATTTAAAGAATTAGTGAACCTTTATGTCGTTGGATATTTTGGTGCGGAAACAAGCCATGGGAGTTGCAAAAATCAACTTATTCATTATTATCACAGCATGAACGGACGAGCAGAATATGGAGATGATTGGTTTCACCTAAAACAGAAAAAATATTACAATAATTTGGACGTTTTACAACCTCCATCGACTCATCGGCTCCGCGCACAAAACCACCCATTATTCATGCACACCGCAGAGATGGTGTTCCGATTTTCAAAGGAGGGCCCGGTTCATGTGCCAGAATGCCTAGATAAGATAATTTTCTCATTATGTGAGTTTAGAATTCTTTTTCAACCAAAAAAACATTAGGGATTACCGATGTGGGGTCAATATCGTTGTGACAAATGAGGGACACGACGCGGCAACCCTCAGAATCTTTTGTATTGTCGATAATTCCAATTGCTGTGCCGTCATCACTAAATATACTAGCATGAACTAAATTTAGCAGATATAAAACTATGTTAACTATGTAGAGTAATTTGAAAAAAAGCCATTCATAATGAACCTGATCTTGGGCTGCTCGGCACCAAAGTCCGCAAGCTCCAGATTGCAGTCCTCGAGAAGAACTAAAACTGTCTTTAGCCTCTTAAGATCACCGTATTTAGGTAGATTTATTATATTAAAATTATAAAGAAAAAGTGACTCTAATTCAGGGCTGATAAATGGGTGTATTAAATGCCTGAATTATTAAACTTAGCAGCCGGCGTTACGATACCTAGTGGATTTCCTAAAACCTCGGTGGGTTTGCCTGTTTATTCGCTGCTTTTCCGCCTAAAGAGGCAAGAGGTCAGTCGAAGTTTTATTGTTAGATAGACACAACCAAATTATTTTTGCTATTTTGTACCTTGCTGATTGTTATGATTTATTTTTTAAAGGAGATAATTCCATAATTATAATTTTTTGGTTTGTAGATTTCAAAAAAGTACTCTGTTAAACACAAATTCGATGCGGATTTATACATACCTTCCAAGCTCAGGACGCACATCATC